TATATATATATGTATATAATATATTGTATTGAATGTATATATACCTGTGATGTTTTCTAATCATACTGACTGATGTATATTTTAAATACCCGACCCCCCCCCTCCCCCTCATATTCTCCACACCCAGGCACACCGTTCATGGCTAGGTTATCGGCACAGCTGAAGTACTTTGTGAACCTCAAAGTAACCACCGACGCGCGTTGGCAGGGTGTAAAGGTGATCTTCTCTGGGCACGAGACACCAGGAGAGGGTGAGCATAAGATTATGGACTACATCCGCAAGCAACGCTCCCTGGATACCTGGAACCCGAACACACGCCACTGTCTGTATGGGTTAGATGCAGATCTGATTGTGTTGGGTTTGCTGACACATGAGCCTCACTTCTCGTTGCTGCGAGAGGAGGTGACCTTTGGCAACTCGAAGTCCAAGCGAGTGCTGGCGGACGCGAAGAAGGTGTGCGTGTGTGGGAGGGGCTGAGGTGGGGGGATGTGAAGGAGATGTGCCTGTGTAAGCACACGTGTGTATGTGTTAAGTGTAAGTGCACGTGTGTATGTGTTAAGTGTAAGTGCACGTGTGTATGTGTTAAGTGTAAGTACACGTGTGTATGTGTGCATGTACAAGCACACACGTGAATGTGTGTGACGATAGGCAGATGTTGGTGGAGGCATGCAGACACATGCGCGTGTGTGCACATAGATACGTCCGCATGTGCATACAGAGACACTTGCATCCATGTCTGCACCGATACATACCAGCGCATGCACACAGATACACGCGTTTACTTGTGTACAAACACATATCACAGACACTTGTCTGAGCTCTGTACCCGAGCGCTAACTATTGTTCATCAATAGCGAACGAATGCGCACTCGCACGCTCGTGAGGTGGTTCGGATGAGCCACCATTGTCTGTCACCATCGGCTTTGTTTTTATGAATCTAATGTTTTTAATGACTCCATCACTGTCACTGTTTGTAATGTCTTGAGTATATCCTGAGCCTCCGCTGTGTCTAATGGTTTTTAATGTCTATCGCTTGCATTGTTTCTAATATCTATAATATATTATTATGTCTACTGCTTCTCATCTATATAACTCTATCACTTTCACAGGTCAACTTCAATCTACTACACCTGTCGCTGGTGCGTGAGTACACCATGGTAGAGTTTGCGACTGAGCAGAGCATTGACTTTGAGCGTGTGCTTGATGATTGGGTGCTCATCTGCTATCTCGTGGGCAATGACTTCATCCCTCACCTGCCCAACCTACACATCAACACCGGCGCGTTGGATCTGTTGTTTGGTAGGTGACTGTGGTGTGTACGTGTACGGTGCTTCCTGTTTGTGGAGATAGTGTGGTATGGGTATGGCGTAAGGGTATAGTTTATACCTACCACTAACTGCTGTATCCTGATGGTATGTTTGTGGTATAGGGTCGCCGTCAAGTTGAATACTTACAGGTGAAAATCCACAAATAACTACACTCGCAACCTATTACATCACATACTGTGCATGGGACCGATTGCACCCGGATAACAACGTCCTCCACCAGCAGTACGACATCCACTCTGAGTACACACCGGTGCAACACCACATAACATAATAAGGCTAGCGGGACAATAGGCACTGTGCTGGTGTCGATGCTATTGCACCCACCAACTGAGTGGTGAGGTGCATCGCTGTTGCATACGTGCGAACGCAAGAGAATACACACGCATGTGTCGCCATACACGACGCTCCTAAATCAAAAACTACTAACACATTGCACGAAAAACTCTAAACCCAACAAGAACTATGCTCTGATGCGCAGACACGTACGAACAGCACTGACATGTCGCCATTACAAGCCCCGAACCTTACAAACCCTAACCTTGAAACCCCTAAACCCTAAACAAACTATGTGCTACACAGACACGTATAAAACGCTGCTGATGGACGAGGCTGAGCCACGGTACCTGAACGATGCGGGGCATTTGGAACTCAGCAACTTCCAAGACTACATGCGCATGCTCACGCAACACGACACAGAGACGTGTCAGCAGGTGAGTGCGATGGGTGGGCGTGTGTGCAATTGTTCTTGGGTGGACGGGTATGAAGTAGATGACTGTGTGTAAGCTGGGTGTGCGTATGTATTTATGTGTGTGTGTGTATGTCTGCATGTGTTTGTATGTGTGTGCATAATTATATGGGAGCGCTTTTCCGGTTGTCTACAGCCATTGTAGTTTGACAGAATGTCAGTCGTAGATAAGGTCTGTCGCATAGTTGTGCTGTTGGTGCATACTGCAAGACAACAGCATATGTTCAGTCCTTTGTTTGTATTACGTTTCAGTATTACACACATCCCACTCACTTATACCACCTCCACGCTTGTTTATGTAAGACTGTATCTGCGGCATCGTCTGGGCTACTTACGTTATATATCATTCCCATTTCGGCGCACTACAGGTGCATTGTTTATACCATCTCCGTTCGTTGTATCTTTTACGTTCCTATCCGTACACACTCCACCCAGGCTGTATAAAGCATATCCTATCCTCTACTAGAGTTGTATAGCACATCTCTACGTGCTTCGTTCATACCACAGGTATTCATTTCCTCTACTAGAGTTGTATGACACATATCTACATGCTTCGTTCATACCACAGGTAATCCTATCCTCTACTAGACGTGTATGACACATATCTACGTGTTTCGTTCATACCACAGGTGGGGGCGGATATGGCATATCTGAGCTCCAAGATGGCCACCGCCAACCTCGACTACACATCTGCCGTGTCAACTGAGGAGAGTGACACCGACTCAGACAGCAAAGCCGTCGCAAAGGGCAAAGGAGAGGCAGTGACGGAAGAGAGTGCCGTAGATGCCGACGGGTTCCTAATGGTTTGTATATATATATATATATGTGTGTGTATGTGTGAATATATTTATATCCTTCTCGGGACTAAGTATTGAGTAATGTGGCCACGAATTGGCATACTTTGATTGTTTGGCTTTCAGGGTATGGGGGTGGGTACTGATAATTTTTGCTACGGCTGTGTTTTTTTCTGTCCATTTCAGGTCAAGTCTAAACCAAGGAAATACAAACCAATCAAAACGGATGATTCCAATGACACATGTAAGTAGTGGGAGACTCGGCCCAAGCATCTGTGTGTCACCTAATCTGTGGACTCTATCTATTGGCTCTCGATATAAGGATAACACACACACTATATTATCTATATATATTTCA